TTGCCGGTGTTTCATGCTTTTATTGTGAAGGGTTGTCGGTGTTTCATGCTTTTATTGTGAAGGGTTGTCGGTGTTTCATGCTTTTATTGTGAAGGGTTGTCGGTGTTTCATGCTGTTATTGTGAAGGGTTGTCGGTGTTTCATGCTGTTATTGTGAAGGGTTGTCGGTGTTTCATGCTTTTATTGTGAAGGTTTGGACGTGTTTCATGCTTTTATTGTGAAGGGTTGTCGGTGTTTCATGCTTTTATTGTGAAGGGTTGTCGGTGTTTCATGCTTTTATTGTGAAGGGTTGCCGGTGTTTCATGCTTTTATTGTGAAGGGTTGTCGGTGTTTCATGCTTTTATTGTGAAGGGTTGTCGGTGTTTCATGCTTTATTGTGAAGGGTTGTCGGTGTTTCATGCTTTTATTGTGAAGGGTTGTCGGTGTTTCATGCTTTTATTACACACTTAGCTAGTTTATCTACTCTGGAACTAGCTAAACTAGTTATACATATATGTATTATTTACTATCGGGTCACTTATTACAGGTTCAGCGACAGTAGCGGACTGGCCATCAGGAAGTTCGGGACGAATCCCGATGGGCCGGTACTGAAGTGGGCCAGTCGGACAAGTCACTAGCACCCCCACCCCCGTTGAGAATTTACTAGCGGTATTTACTTGCGGTACCGAGGTGGGCCGGTCGGATAAGTCACTAGCACCCCCCCCCCCATAGTGCTGAAGCTCCCCCTAGGATAGCCATAGCACCCCCTAAGCACCCCAAATAAATGTATGTGTCTTTTTACATTTTTATGTGTTAAATTAATAATTTGAAAAATGATTGATTCGAAAATAAAATGCTACAGTAGGCCTACACGTAGGCTACTTCTGGGTCTCTAGCTACGCTAACAGATATAAGGATATTTTTCAACAACAAGGTGGAGGGAGAGCTCTCTCCTGTCAGACTGAGAGGCTGAGATAACGTCAGCTCAGTGATAGATAGTTCACTTTAATTAAGTTATCTCAGTGGGGCTCAAACGCAGTGGCGTTTTTATATGTACAAAAGTGGTGGGGCACAAAAAACGTAGATGTCTATATATAAGCTTCTGCAGTGACGTGCAGTGAGGTTCATGGCTGGTGAGGCACTGGCACTGACTCTTCAGGTTTACAAATATTATATTTTGACCTAAACCAAAATATAATATTATTTTCAAAAGCTTTTTTTGTCTGATGCTTCGATTAATTTTAAACAGACAGTTCAACAAAAGGATACCCAAAAAATGTAATTTTATCATTTAAATATTGAATTGTTCTCTCTTAGTAAGATCCCATTTTCAATCAAATTGCGGTCTTACCTTGACTTGAAGATGAAGTCCATTTGCCTATCCTTCTGGACAAAAATGTCTATAACTTTTTTGTAAAAGTCCTCCTTATGTTCTTGTAGTTTCAAAAGTCTATCATAAATCTAATCCATAGATTTATGATAAAAAATTATAAAAGTAGGGTAGACATGTGGATGTTATCCGGCTGATCAAAACGTGCATTTATCTAACAGGTACGTTCCCACAGATCTTATTTCCAGCTATTTTCTAAAATCCTCTGGAGAAATCTCATTGCTTTTTTGTCGAGGGAAGCCATGCGCAGCTTACTTCCTGGTTTTAGGACGCGTCACTGCAGCTCTCTCGTCTCCTCTTCACACACCACACTTTTCGCGGCACACGTACTTACAGCCAATCAGCTCTGAATGATTTGAGATGACGTATGGTGGGGATGGCAGCTCTGTGCCCCTATGGTCATTATTTTTTTGCCACACACATTTCATTACAAAATACTCTGAGCATGCGCAGTGTAGTTTTTACAGTCACCGTTGACTTCACAGCGAGAGGGAGGGGCATAATCAGGTTTTGTCCCACATGGCTCTAAACAGCTCAATAGGCACACACTGTGACTGTAGACACACTAATTAGAAGAACACAGACTAAAACAGCAATGTACAGACGAATCAGATGATTAAACATGATCTTAAAATATATTTTATATATTTTTTTTATTTATTTTTTTGCATTTTTGTAATCATTATTTGTAATACTTTCTGCTGACACTAGGTGGGGCTGTGCCCCACCTGCCCCTAATGACCAGTCGCCACTGCTCAAACGGTTTGGTCACAATTAATCTAAACCAGGGCTCTCCAACACGTCGATCGCGAGCTACCGGTAGCTCGCGGGCAGCTTTTCAGTAGCTCGCCGCTCGATTATCGATTATAGCGTAGTAAGGTTGCTTATTGATTTTTCGGCCGCGGCTGGACCATAACGTTTTTTTATTTTAGAATTTTTTCTGTCACATGAATATCAAATGGTCGGTGACGCAGAGATCAAGGAACAGACGTGACAGCAGCACAGCGACATCACACACGGAGCAGTCTGCTTTCTCCACCAACACCAGTCCAGAACCAACAGCAGAATGACCCGCTCTGAATCAGGCCCTGTCGCTGCGCCTCAGAGACACACAGGGAGGGATTTGTGTTTTTTGAAAAACAGTCGTTATCGTCATGTCAGGTTTTTGGTGGATTTAATCAAGTCTTGGATTGCAGAGTATGAATGTCCTCTTGCTATTTTCAGTTGATAAATACTTGTGTAAAGTTTGTGAAGGCAGGAGGAAAGCTTCCGCGATCACCGTCTCCTCTCCGTTCCTCCAAACCCCGCCCCCTCCCTGAAAATAATGAGTGACAGGCTGATAGTGACCCGATAGAAACTTTATTATTCACTTAATCACTGATTGAGATATGATGAAGCTAACTTAATCTCATACATTCATGGGATTTATGTAACAGTAAGACAGATAATGTAAGTGTGCACCCACATGCACTATTTTTGTTTTTATAATGCTATTGTAAATACTCCTGCTGTTTTCAGACTCAAGTCATGTGTGTGATGCCACATTCAAGACATTCAGTGTCTTTTTTTTAACAGAAGACCGTAGCTAGAAGCTGCAGCTAGACTGCAGAAGTATTAGTTTTTTGTTTTTGAGAATGGAACCATTTTCACACACAGATATAGGGAGGCTAGACCTATACAATTGATTTATTATGGTTTATAATTTAATGTCAAGACGAAGAAGAAGAAGAAAAAGATGGCTGAACAACTGTTCAGTGTCAATCCTGTGGAGATCTCCAAAATAATGTTCAGCTTAAGTCTCAGCAAAACTCACAACATTTCTGGAGCCTTGTAGACCCAGAAAACTATAAGAACATTCACCAAGCAGCACTGAAAATGTCTGCTTTATTTGGTTCTGTTCTACATACCTTTGTGAAGCAGCTTTTTCTGACATGAATGAAATCTAAATACAGAACAAGACCGACTGATGAACATTTAAATGACTCTATTAAGTCAACCTTAAGTGGGTCCAGCATACACCTCTATGGTGGACTGCATGCAGTGCCATTCATCTCACTAACAAAAGAGTGAAATGCTTGTAAGGTGGTGATTAAGGACACTTATGTGAATGTTCAGTGATGTACTTATTATGTGGGCCATAATAATATGAGAAATCTTCGTTTTCTTGGACCTTATTTTTGATAAGCTTTAGGTATTGCAATTTCACACGTGTACAAAAGTATAGCTTAATTCAACTGATGAGGGCTATGTGAATAAATGTAAGCGATGTGATGCAAGTAGCTCTTGGCCACTTTCATTTTTTGAAAGTAGCTCTCAGATGAAGAAAGGTTGGAGACCCCTGATCTAAACACTTATTTCCGAGGCACACGTTCATATGATCATTATAGATATAAAAAAATAAGAGAATAAATGAAAAACAGGTATGAAATACTATATGGCAGTAAAACAAGAATACAGTTTGAAAGGGGAGTGATTTGTAAAATATCCATAAAGAAAAAGTAAATCTGTTTCCAGTTGTGTTTCATATGTTGAGAGATGGATCCATAGATCTCTCATGTTGCTCTCAAAGTGCACCAGATTGATGCTTTGAACTTTAATATTTAAAAAAAATATATCCCGGGGGAGCATGCCCCCGAACCCCCCTAGAGGAGGTGAGGACCCCCCTAGAGGAGGTGAGGTCCACCCCCCACTTATAAAAATAGCACTTTACCCCTGCTTACACCTATATGCTGTGAGCTGATTATCGAGCCTTCATTGTAACAGTCGCGGGTACACTGTGCGTGCGTGTGGGGAGTGTTGCATTAGAAAATTCCACTGTAGCGCCCGGTACATTAATGGGAAACCCTAAATGTTTGAGCACCCTCTATGAAACCTCTGGCGCCGTCACAATTCGTTTTTAATCTGCCATGTACGGTATCAATGTCTCTCAGCCACCGTAGTGTCGTGTAGGGGGCGTGTCGTGGTCCAGCTGCGAGAGGCGAAGTCCCGCACTTCTACTTCCGCCCCATGGGACCTTATTTCGGAAATATTATGCATTGAAGTCAATGGGAAGAGAAAGATTATCTATGGCTCCTATCAAAAAATGACAAGACCGTGAGCATCAGGGAACCCCAATGAACTGATATATGTTTGTTTTTTGGTTTTGTGTGTAAAATGTGGAGATGGGAGCAGTTTGTCTAAAGTGTACTTCTCTCTGCTCTGAAGAAAGTTCCGGAAAGATTTAACATGGATTGAGGGGTACTTCGAGCTGTCCGACTCCGAGCTGTCCGACTTCAGACGAGCTTTTTGAGACCTCCTCCGAGCCGCAGCTCATCTCAAACAAGCCAACTTTCACTCCTGAGACGTCAGAGTGACCCGACAGGCGGTGGGAAATAGCGTGACGTCATCACTGCGGGACGCCGTGCTGCGCAGGTTAGAGACTCGAAGGTGAAATAAATGAATGAAATGAAATGAAATATATAAAGATACATCTATTTGATAACAGGAGCTCATCGGGGACCGGATATCCGGGAGGGCTGGAGGAAGGTATGGGTTATTTACTGTGGAGAATACATGCTAACAAGCTAACATGCTAACATAACAAACTGCTCAGAAACTCAAAGCAGACACACACACACTCAGTCACACTCAGTCACACACACACACACACACACACACAGCAGACACACACATGCAGACACACAGCAGACACACACAGCAGACACACACATGCAGACACACACACAGCAGACACACATGCAGACACACACAGCAGACACACACAGCAGACACACACATGCAGACACACACAGCAGACACACACATGCAGACACACACAGCAGACACACACATGCAGACACACACTGCAGACACATACACAGCAGACACACACACACAGCAGACACACACACAGCAGACACACACAGCAGACACACACATGCAGACACACACAGCAGACACACACATGCAGACACACACAGCAGACACACACAGCAGACACACACAGCAGACACACACAGCAGACAGACACACAGCAGACTAGGGATGGGTATCGTTTGAAATGTATTGATTCCGATTCCAGTTCTGCTTATCGATTCCGGTTCTGATCGATTCCCCGTTTCGATTCCAAAATTGTAAAAGAAAGAGGTCAAACGTTTAGATAACAAAAATATCTTTATTCTTTTAAGCTTTAACTGACATTTTTACAAATAAAAAATATACATGCAATACAAATGTATTGCACAATAGCTGTGCTTTATTTGAACTGAGCTATGCCTGTGGCAAGCTATTAACAGGCATTACACTGTGCCTAGTCTTTTTCTGTTTTAGTGTAGTGGAGCCTCACTTTAGAGCGTTTACCGCGACCCATCTTTGGTGTTACAGTATGAAGTGACTGAGCTCGTGAACTGTCTACGGGAGGGCGGGGGGAGCCTCGCTGCGGGGAAACTGTGGACCTCTGTCGCATGTCAGCGCAACTTAGATGATGTCATTTAAAAAAAAAAAAAAAAGGGCGGTGCCGGTCGCCAGCGTACCGAGCCGGCCTTCAACGGCCCGCTGACGACCGGCCGTTCTGTGATTCTCCAGAACACACAGATGGCCAGTCCACCCTTACCCTGTATTCCACCGGGTCGCCGCGGCGCAGACGGACCCGGTGGAATACAGGGTCTACCGCGTTTAGGAACCGTTAAGCAGAACCGAAATTGTGTATTTTGTATGGGTACCCGGCATTTTCTTATCGGTTCTCACCTGGAACCGAGTTTCGGTTCCCAACCCCTACAGCAGACACACACAGTAGGCAGACACACAGCAGACACACACAGCAGACACACACACAGCAGACACACAGCAGACACACACACAGCAGACACACACACAGCAGACACACACACAGCAGACACACACACAGCAGACACACACACAGCAGACACACACAGCAGACACACACACAAGCAGACAGCAGACACACACACAGCAGACACACACACAGCAGACACACACACAGCAGACACACAGCAGACACACACAGCAGACACACACAGCAGACACACACAGCAGACACACACAGCAGACACACACAGCAGACACACACACAGCAGACACACACACAGCAGACACACACAGCAGACACACACAGCAGACACACACAGCAGACACACACAGCAGACACACACAGCAGACACACACAGCAGACACACACACAGCAGACACACACACAGCAGACACACACACAGCAGACAGACTTGATCCCATTGGACATTAGTTTAAGTTAATTTATTTTCTATCATAGCAGCATCAATATCAGAAAACTACAATAGAAATAGGAAGTTTGTGCAAATATACGAAGGATAAAATATAAGAGTAAATAAAAGTGTATAATAATGATCATATTATTAATGCTGTGTTCAAATGCAGGAATTGTGTTGCCTTTAATAAAAATAACTGATCCCTCCTGTCTGCTTTAGGAGGTCAGCATGCGGACTGTAGGGGGGGCGCTGAGGTCCAGCATCCTGAGGCGGGTCGGTTCTGCTGCTCCCAGACCTGAAACTCCACTGGGTCTCAGACCTGAACCTCCACCGGGTCCTGAACCTCCGGCAGCCGGACCCCCTGCTGTCTGCTGTTTGATGTCAACCATCAGGACTCTGTCAGGAATGAGGACTCTGTCAGGAATGAGGACTCTGTCAGGACCCGGGACTCTGTCAGGACTCGGGACTCTGTCAGGAATGAGGACTCTGTCAGGAATGAGGACTCTGTCAGGAATGAGGACTCTGTCAGGACTGAGGTCTCTGTCAGGACTCGGGACTCTGTCAGGACCCGGGACTCTGTCAGGAATGAGGACTCTGTCAGGACTGAGGTCTCTGTCAGGACCCGGGACTCTGTCAGGACCCGGGACTCTGTCAGGAATGAGGACTCTGTCAGGAATGAGGACTCTGTCAGGAATGAGGACTCTGTCAGGAATGAGGACTCTGTCAGGACCCGGGACTCTGTCAGGACTCGGGACTCTGTCAGGAATGAGGACTCTGTCAGGAATGAGGACTCTGTCAGGACTCGGGACTCTGTCAGGGGTCCGGAGGCTCTCTGGTGGCCCTGATGGTGTCCCTGGCGGTGTAGGGGTCTCTGAGGGGGTCCCTGATGCTGTGGGGGTCTCTGGGGGGGTCCCTCCCGGGTGGTACAGCTCCCTCTCGGACTCGGCTCTGGTCCACCTGGTGGAACACTTCCTGCTGACGGTCCAGCAGGTGGGGGGGCTGCCCTGGTGGCTGAGCATCGTCGTGGCAACGCTGTCGGTCCGGACCGCCGTCACTCTGCCGCTCGCAGCCTATCAGACGGTGGTGCTGGCCCGGGTGAGTGACAGGGGGGCGGGACTACAGGGGGGGTTCTGTTAGCGGTTAGTACATAGAGTTAGTGAATAGATTTAGTACATAGTTAGTGAATAGAGTTAGTGAATAGAGTTAGTGAATATAGTTAGTGAATATAGTTAGTCAATAGAGTTAGTGAATAGAGTTAGTCAATAGAGTTAGTGAATATAGTTAGTGAATATAGTTAGTGAATAGAGTTAGTCAATAGAGTTAGTGAATAGAGTTAGTGAATATAGTTAGTCAATAGAGTTAGTGAATAGAGTTAGTGAATATAGTTAGTGAATATAGTTAGTCAATAGAGTTAGTGAATAGAGTTAGTGAATATAGTTAGTCAATATAGTTAGTCAATATAGTTAGTAGTGGTAACTCTGGGTGGTGTGTCGTGGTAACCGTGGTAACTGGGTGGTGTATCGTGGTAACCGTGGTAACTCTGGGTGGTGTATCGTGGTAACTCTGGGTGGTGTATCGTGGTAACCGTGGTAACTCTGGGTGGTGTATCGTGGTAACTCTGGGTGGTGTGTCGTGGTAACCGTGGTAACTCTGGGTGGTTTATAGTGGTAACCGTGGTAACTCTGGGTGGTGTATCGTGGTAACTGTGGTAACTCTGGGTGGTGTATCGTGGTAACTGTGGTAACTCTGGGTTGTGTATCGTGGTAACCGTGGTAACTCTGGGTTGTGTGTCGTGGTAACCGTGGTAACTCTGGGTGGTTTATAGTGGTAACCGTGGTAACTCTGGGTGGTGTGTCGTGGTAACTGTGGTAACTCTGGGTTGTGTATCGTGGTAACCGTGGTAACTCTGGGTGGTGTGTCGTGGTAACTCTGGGTGGTGTGTCGTGGTAACTCTGGGTGGTGTGTCGTGGTAGCCGTGGTAACTCTGGGTGGTGTGTCGTGGTAGCCGTGGTAACTCTGGGTGGTGTGTCGTGTGTCGTGGTAACCGTGGTTTATAGTGGTAACCGTGGTAACTCTGGGTGGTGTATCGTGGTAACCGTGGCAACTCTGGGTGGTGTGTCGTGGTAACTCTGGGTGGTGTATTATGGTAACTCTGGGTGGTGTATCGTGGTAACTCTGGGTGGTGTATCATGGTAACTGTGGTAACTCTGCAGGTGGAGGCGCTGCAGGTGGAGATCTCTGAGCTGGCTAAGAGGCTTCGATACGAAGTGTCGGTCCGAGCGAGAGAGAGGAGCTGGACTGAGAAACAGAGCAGGTAAATAACTTAATCAACCTTCAGATTTATTTATCTCGTCGTGAGTCAAAGCAACAAAGTTCTGGTTCAAAGACTCGGGAGCAGAGACTTGATCACACACAATCAAACAGATAAACTGAGCCGGTTCTGTTTCAGATTCCAGTTCAAGAAGAACCTGCGGAGGATCGTTTCTCAGCTTTATGTCAGAGAGAACTGTCACCCCTTCAAAGCCAGCCTGCTGATCTGGGTTCAGCTGCCCCTGTGGATCAGCCTCTCTCTGGCCCTCCGGAACCTCACCCTGGATCAGTCAGGTAAACCAGAGTCCTGATCAGTCAGTTAAACCAGATCCTGATCAGTCAGGTAAACCAGATCCTGATCAGTCAGGTAAACCAGATCCTGATCAGTCAGTTAAACCAGATCCTGATCAGTCAGGTAAACCAGATCCTGATCAGTCAGGTAAACCAGATCCTGATCAGCCAGGTAAACCAGATCCTGATCAGTCAGGTAAACCAGATCCTGATCAGTCAGGTAAACCAGATCCTGATCAGCCAGGTAAACCAGATCCTGATCAGCCAGGTAAACCAGATCCAGAACATGTTCTCAGACTTCTACACCCTGAGCCTTTCTTCCTGTGACAGTAGTTGTGTCTCTGCAGCTCTGCATGCTGACCTGGCAGCAGGGGGCGCTCTCTGGTTTCCTGATCTCACCGTACCGGACTCTACCTGGATCCTGCCGCTCGCCCTCGGACTCACCAACCTGATCATCGTAGAGGTAACTTCTTCTTCAGGTGTTTCTAACCTGGCCCTCCTCTCTTCTTCAGGTGTTTCTAACCTGGCCCTCCTCTCTTCTCCAGGTGTTTCTAACCTGAGCCTCCTCTCTTCTTCAGGTGTTTTCTCTGCAGAGGGTGAACCCCTCTCGTCTTCAGAGGATTGTAACGAACAGTATCCGAGGGTTCTCCGTGTTGATGGTTCCCATCGCCGCTACAGTTCCCTCTGTGAGTGACAGTTCCCTCTGAGTGACAGTTCCCTCTGTGAGTGACAGTTCCCTCTGAGTGACAGTTCCCTCTGTGAGTGACAGTTCCCTCTGAGTGACAGTTCCCTCTGAGTGACAGTTCCCTCTGTGAGTGACAGTTCCCTCTGTGAGTGACAGTTCCCTCTGTGAGTGACAGTTCCCTCTGAGTGACAGTTCCCTCTGAGTGACAGTTCCCTCTGTGAGTGACAGTTCCCTCTGAGTGACAGTTCCCTCTGTGAGTGACAGTTCCCTCTGAGTGACAGTTCCCTCTGTGAGTGACAGTTCCCTCTGTGAGTGACAGTTCCCTCTGAGTGACAGTTCCCTCTGAGTGACAGTTCCCTCTGTGAGTGATTAATGTGTGTCTGAGCTCTTCTCACTCGCTGACATGTTCACATGCTCATTCATTCATGTATTCACTGTTTCATGTGTTCACTGTTTCATGTGTTCATGTGTTCACTGTTTCATGTGTTCACTGTTTCATGTGTTCACTGTTTCAAGTGTTCACTGTTTCATGTGTTCACTGTTTCAAGTGTTCACTGTTTCATGTGTTCACTGTTTCATGTGTTCACTGTTTCATGTGTTCACTGTTTCATGTGTTCACTGTTTCATGTGTTCACTGTTTCATGTGTTCACTGTTTCATGTGTTCACTGTTTCATGTGTTCACTGTTTCATGTGTTCACTGTTTCAAGTGTTCACTGTTTCATGTGTTCACTGTTTCATGTGTTCACTGTTTCATGTGTTCACTGTTTCATTGTGTTCACTGTTTCAGTGTTCACTGTTTCATGTGTTCACTGTTTCATGTGTTCACTGTTTTCAGTGTTCACTGTTTCACTTTGTGTTCACTGTTTCAAGTGTTCACTGTTTCATGTGTTCACTGTTTCAGTGTTCACTGTTTCATGTGTTCACTGTTCATGTGTTCACTGTTTCAAGTGTTCACTGTTTTCATGTGTTCACTGTTTTCAAGTGTTCACTGTTTTCATTGTTTTCACTGTTCATGTGTTCACTGTTTTCAAGTGTTTCACTGTTTCATGTGTTCACTGTTTCATGTGTTCACTGTTTCAAGTGTTCACTGTTTCATGTGTTCACTGTTTCATGTGTTTCACTGTTTCATGTGTTCACTGTTTCATGTGTTCACTGTTTCAAGTGTTCACTGTTTCATGTGTTCACTGTTTCAAGTGTTCACTGTTTCATGTGTTCACTGTTTCATGTGTTCACTGTTTCAAGTGTTCACTGTTTCATGTGTTCACTGTTTCAAGTGTTCACTGTTTCATGTGTTCACTGTTTCATGTGTTCACTGTTTCAAGTGTTCACTGTTTCATGTGTTCACTGTTTCAAGTGTTCAAGTGTTCACTGTTTCATGTGTTCACTGTTTCAAGTGTTCATGTGTTCACTGTTTCAAGTGTTCATGTGTTCACTGTTTCATGTGTTCACTGTTTCAAGTGTTCACTGTTTCATGTGTTAAGGTGTTCATGGGATCACTTGTTCAAGTATTGAGTGCTCCATGTGTTCATGTCCCCCTTCAGGGTCTGGCTCTGTACTGGCTTTCCTCCTCTCTGATTGGTCTGTCCCACAACCTGCTCCTCAGGTCCCGCCTCCTCCACAGACTCCTCCGACTGAAGACTGTCCATCAGTCTGAGACTCCGTACAGAGACCTGCTGAGCGCCTTCAAGTCCAAATACTGCAGATAAACACACACACACACACACACACAATAATATATTTACTTTTTGAGAAGTGTTCTGATTTGTCATTAATTGTCTAATCTGTGTGTTCTTCAATCAAATAAAACTTGTCCGAATTTGGTGTTTCTTTTTTCACGTCTGTAACCAATAAAACAAACAGTTAAATCTAATGATATCTAAAGTGTATTAATATGTTGTGTGTGTGAGTTTCAGTAAACAGGAAGTGCAGTCGCCTCTGAAGCATTTCCTGTTCTGTGTTTACGACCCGAAAGAAGTGAAACGGGTTTTAAATATATAAGATAATTTTATCTAAATATGATTTAATTATGATTTATTATTGTCTTTATTATTATAATGTTGTTCCCGCCCTGGGTTCGGTCTGTAAGGAGGAGTCGAGTCTAAAGCCTGCCTCAGAAGCAGAGCAGTGGCGGAGCCAGGACATTTTCAGTGGGGTGGCCAGGATGGAACCAGTACTCATTTTGGGGTGGCATTGAAATCACTATATGAACATAAAAATACATCTCACTAGAAAACAAGGGGTTATTTAAGGCACCTACAACACACCTCTACATTATTGGGATTAAGTGGTGGAACAGATCAAATAATATTCAGTATATCTAACTATTTTTTTCGTATTCCCGCAGGCAAAGTATCAACAAAGCTTACATTATACAAATGTAATGCAATATACAGACTGTTTAGCTTATGGTGATCAGCAGCACTATGAGCTCATTCTCTCAGTGTATCACCAGGAATACAGAGACACACACACATCATTTAAATAAGAGTTTTTTAATTAAATGATTGGTTAAGAATAAACAAAGTAAATAACAATAAACAATAGCCCTTAACCCTGTAAAAAGTTTTTTTTGTTTTTTTAAAAGACTACATTTACATAGTCAAAAGGTCCTTTTGTTCAGTCTCACAATTGGGCCCCACCACCAGGCCCAGGCCACGCCAACCAAGCACACTTGCTGTAACCACACCTCCAGAACCCAACCCACTTATTTATGCTTTAAATAACTACCTGTACAGGCTTGCATCTATCTTGTAGTCCAATACTATCTGCACAATATTTACCTGACACTGAGCTGTGAAAATATAACACTGTGCAGACGTGCAACATTCTGCTGCAATAGAATTCACTATTTGATATAAGACTAACATTCCTGACAATAGATCTCAATAGCCATCTTTTATGGTGGAAATTCCTTTTTAATAATAACGTTTTTGAATGGAACATTCTCAACATGAATGCATAAAGCCAAATAGAGAGAGTTTTTCAGGTTTTTGAGAACACGTCGAATTTTTTAGATTTTTGAGAAAGTACAATTTTTGAGAAAAAGTACAATTTTTGAGAAAAAGTACAATTTTTGAGAAAAGTCCGAATTTTGAGAAAAAATAAGAATTTTGAGAAAAAATAAGAATTTTGAGAAAAAATAAGAATTTTGAGAAAAAATAAGAATTTTGAGAAAAAATAAGAATTTTGAGATTTTTGAGAAAAAGTCCAAAAAATTGGGAAAACAGTCAGATTTTTGAGAAAAAGTCAGAATTTTAAACATGACAGGATGTATGATTACCTAGAAGAACTGGTATTCCTCCAGCTTGTGACTGTAACTCCCTCTCGTATAATAATGATTATAATAAAAAAACATTATATATAATATGTGTTGATCTCTTAATCTATGCTTTGTGTCCTTCCATTCACACAGGCGCACCCACAGGGCCCCATTCTGACGGCCATTTTGGCTGCACTGGTTAGCCGTTAGAGGCTGGTGACAGCAGAGGCTGAAGTGAATAGTAAAAAAAACTATTTGTATGAAAAGATAAGAGTCTCTGGTACATATAAATTACATTTTTGGGTGATTGGATTCTTCAGTTTAAAAATGACTGAATTATTGTATGATCTGTGAACATTTAGGCCAAATTTGGTGACATTCTGATAATTATTTCCAGAGATACATGGGATAAGGCCAACACGGGCCCCTTCAGATGAGCCCACATTTTCACTATTTTCGGTTATGGGAAAGTTCCAAACATTAACCAAAAATAATAATTTTGCAGTAAAATATTTGTATACAACAATCCGTTTCATAAACTAGACATGTTAAAGTAATGAAAAAACATGGTTGTGCTTTGTTCTACCTCGGGTAGGGGGTACCTCAACTTTTAGGGGCCTTATGGCGCGTTTCCAATACAGCGCGGAGTACGGTTTAAGAGGGCTGTGACGTCAGCGGCCCGTCTTTGGTTGCGTTTCCACTTGGCCTAGTACCGGCCGGCGGGTCCTAATTCACAGTTTTTCTGGCCTCATAAAATCGTGGGGCCAGGGCCAGAGGCAACGAGGCTGAGTCGGGCTGAGTATGCTAAACTAGAGAGAGCGTCGCTGGCAAGGGGGCAACAACTACAACAAGATGGACATATTTGACCGTGATTTAATTGTAATACACGTTTCAAAATGATGCCGAAGTAACAACATACTGATACCGGTTAGTAAAAACCATGAATTAATGCTTTGTCAAGTCTGCAGACAGACGGCAGGCGAAAAACCTTTTAAAATGCGTGTTTTCTAAATGGAGATTGGCTAAGCTAACGCAGTATATGCCCCGACCGTCCACACTCACAACAACGGCCTATACAGACATAAATAAAGCAGCGACTGTATTCACCATGACACAGGCAGTCTGTGGTTTGTACTTGTTTAACTTTTGTCTAGTTTCTGAACATATATGAGGAGCTGTGAGCTCTGAGTGCTAACAGCTAACGGCTGTGTTGTTTTTCTGGGGTCCTCTGAAGATCACGTCACGGCTCCGCCTACACTGCGTTACTATAGATACTGCCCCAGTTCCTAAACTGTAATGGAAATGCGCCATAAAGTGAGCCAGTCCTAACGAGGCCCAGCCATACCGAGCGGGGCCGAGCGAGGCCGTGTAGTGGAAACGCGACATTAGTTCCTCTACTGAACAGCATTCTCACATGTGTTCCTCTGGTCCAGGTGTGAGAGGGCAGTGTGGATGGTGAGGACCTGTTTGCTCTGTAGGCAAACTGCAGGGGGTCCAGAGAGTCAGGGAGGGAGGAGGTGATGAAGGTTTTGACTAACCGCTCAAAGCACTTCATTATGATGGAGGTGAGTGCTACTGGGCTGGTGGTTTTTGTTTTTTTGGGGACAGGAACGATAGTGGAGTGTTTGAAGCATGTGGGGACTACAGACTGCAGCAGGGACCTGTTGAAGATGTCTGTGAACACCTCTGCCAGCTGAACTGCACACACCCTGAGAACACGGCCAGGGATGCCATCAGGTCCAGGAGCCTTGTGTGGGTTAACCCTTTTAAAGGATTTACACACATCTGCCCTATTTAAAACAAAAGGGCAGGGCTCTGGCTCCTGGTCCCTCTGTACCTCCAGTGGCGACTGGTCATTAGGGGCAGGTGGGGCACAGCCCCACCTAGTGTCAGCAGAAAGTATTACAAATAATGATTACAAAAATGCAAAAAATAAAATAAAAAATATATATAAAATATATTTTAAGATCATGTTTAATCATCTGATTCGTCTGTACATTGCTGTTTTAGTCTGTGTTCTTCTAATTAGTGTGTCTACAGTCACAGTGTGTGCCTATTGAGCTGTTTAGAGCCATGTGGGACAAAACCTGATTATGCCCCTTCCTCTCGCTGTGAAGTCAACGGTGACTGTAAAAACTTCACTGCGCATGCTCAGAGTATTTTGTAATGTAATGTGTGTGGCAAAAAAATAATGACCAGAGGGGCATGGAGCTACCATCCCCACCATACGTCATCTCAAATCATTCAGAGCTGATTGGCTGTAAGTACGTGTGCCGCGAAAAGTGTGGTGTGTGAAGAGGAGACGAGAGCTGCAGTGACGCGTCCTAAAACCAGGAAGTAAGCACAAAAAAGCAATGAGATTTCTCCAGAGGATTTTAGAAAATAGCTCGAAATAAGATCTGTGGGAAACGTACCTGTTAGATAAATGCACGTTTTGTTCAGCCGGATAACATCCACATGTCTACCCTACTTATATAATTTTTTTATCATAAATCTATGGATTAGATTTATGATAGACTTTTGAAACTACAAGAACATAAGGAGGACTTTTACAAAAAAGTAATAGAAATGTTTGTCCAGAAGGATAGGCAAATGGACTTCATCTTCAAGTCAAGGTAAGACCGCCATTTTATTGAAAATGGGATCTTACTAAGAGAGAACAATTCAATATTTAAATGATAAAATGACATTTTTTGGGTATCCTTTTGTTGAACTGTCTGTTTAAAATTAATCGAAGCATCAGACAAAAAAAGCTTTTGAAAATAATATTATATTTTGGTTTAGGTCAAAATATAATATTTGTAAACCTGAAGAGTCAGTGCCAGTGCCTCACCAGCCATGAACCTCACTGCACGTCACTGCAGAAGCTTATATATAGACATCTAAGTTTTTTGTGCCCCACCACTTTTGTACATATAAAAACGCCACTGTGTACCTCCACAGCCTGGCTGCTCTCAAAGCGTGCAAAAAAACTGTTCAGCTCATCTGGGAGAGATGCGCACGCAGACACTCCCGCAGCACCCCCTGCTGCTCCTTTGTAGTCTGTCATTGTCCTTAGTCCCGCCCACATGTTCCGGGTGTTACAGCCTTTGAAGTCAGATTCCACCTTCTCTTTGTACTGTCTCTTTGCATTGCTGATTGCTCTCCGGAGATCATACCTAGACTTCCTGTACTCCTCCAAATCCCCCGCTCTGTGCGCGATAGTGCGCGCTTTCAGCTTGCTGCACACCTTGCAGTTTATCCAGGGCTTTTGATTTGGGAATGTCCGTACAGAAACCTTCGGTACCACGTCATCGATGCATTTCCCAATGTAGCAGATGACAGTGTCCGTGTGTGTGTTGATGTTGTTGTCCTCAAACACACTCCAATCCGTAGATGCAAAGCAATCCTGCAGTCCTGCATCTGACTCCTCGCTCCATCGCTGTACTGTCCTTGTTACCGGTCTGTCCCTTTTTAGTTTCTGCTTGTAAGCAGGCAGCAGCAGCAGTGAGATGTGGTCTGATTTGCCGAAGAGAGGGCGAGGGAGAGCCTTGTATCCATGTCGAAAAGGGGAATAA